CCCCCCCCCCCCCCCCACCCCCTCGCGCAGGAAGCGATTGAGTGGTGAAAGCAAGACTTGCACAATTTGGTGTATTGTTGCTGCTCCCAAATTGTTTGCCTTGCGGACACCAGCTTTGCTTCGTTGGGACTTCTTCGGCCATGGAAGGCATGGCGATGACGGAGAACACACAGTTAACAATTTCAAAACGTTTACAAGGTTCTTACGCAGCAGCAGCCGTGGACATAGACATAGATCGCTCATCGTCAGACTCTGAAAAATCTTACAGGGGACTCCATCAACGTCCATCTCCTGTCGATTTGTTGCCGCTGCATGATTTTACCCACAAAGTAACAGTAACACCGACGGACTCTAGCTGATGCCGTGACAGCTTGCATTTCAAAGGGTGACTGTGACGATGCCGAGAAATCGAAACTCGCAACCAAGCTACTAGCAGTACTTACATGCTCTGGAAGGCTGTGTCATCGAATCACTCTGATGAAATCGACGGGTGAAGCGCGCGCCAAGCCAGCGAGCGATAACGTTTGAGATTCCTCGCTTTCGTCGTGCTTTCACGCATTGAAGTGCAGGTTGTTGATCCATGTGGACTAGATGCTTCCCCGTCCGGCCTCTCCGATTCCTGGTTCATTGGGGCACCGTCGGGTAACGGAAGCGTGGGCTCCTCTGTAATGAGGATCCGTCCGGCATTGGGTTTACACACCACAACAGAGACAGGTACAGACAACCACAGACAGGCATACTGTGCACGTAACGAACTTGCGGCTCCAGACAGCATGCAAGAGTGTTTTGGTAGCAACACACAAAAGCAAGCTCGCTCTGGCAAATCTGTGCAGACAGGATCAGACGGAGTTCATGGAGGGGTTGATTGATTCATTCTTTGACAGAGCGCTTACCTCTAGCCTGCATGTTGGGTAAGTTGATGGTTGAATGAGGCAGATTGGATGGCGCAAGGTGCACGATAAGCACGAAAGATGCTGCCGTGCATTTGAGTGTCATCGTAATCGGCTTCGTTCTGAGCTTGCGAATTGAATTGATGTTTTTGTTTGCTGGTCGTTGTAAAGTCGCCGGTGCTGTTTGTCAGCTCCACAGTTTCAGAGTTGAAGTCCCTTTCGACTCAGACCAGGACGGGCCGCCCAAGCCAATGCCTATGTCCATGACGACGCCCATGATGACGCAGGAATCTGCCATGCAGGTGCCTGTAGGAGAGCTAATGAGAGCACGAGAGCGCCTGCAACTATAGCCCACACGGCAAGCAACTCGACAGAGTACCTGCAGTTAGTGAGCAGCTGATGACTGGAGCTCAGATGATCTTCGGGTCCGGTTGATCCATGTGCTGCAAGGGTCTCTTGGCGATGCAGCAGAAGACCGCTTCTGCAGGCAGCGAGCTGCGCAAGTGCTTACATGTACCATTACAGACTGTCATATCCGCCACGTGCCGACGCATCCGATTTCGAGCATGCGCCGCTCGATTCTTGCCGAATGCAGTTTCTAGATCGTGATGAAATGTCTTCCAACGTCCCAAACCTGTTGCAAGCAAGCGAGAATGCAGAGATCGATCCGTGTGGACGGGGCAGTTGAGAACGAAATCAGGCATAGTCTTCTTGGAACCTTTCCTAACCGTTGTGTCAGAACGCAGACTGCAGGTCTCATGCCAGGAATGCCCGGCATGATGCCGATGTCGATGCACCCTTTGCCGGACTTCCAGCAGCGCCCAGACTTCCAGCAGCGCGTCATGACAATCGAGGAGTCCCTTCGCAAGCTCGACTCTGGCCATCCATCCTCGGCCCTGAACCCAAAGCTGGCCATCTCAATGATTGTGAGGACTCCAAGCCGAAGGAGGAGGACCAGCCAAATGAACTGCCCGGGCCTAAGAGGAGCATGATTCAATACATCTAGGCCTTGTTGGCCAGCTGAAGGTTCGTGCTCTTACCTTGTTGAAGATTTTGACTGCACCATGTTAGCAGAGAGTCACAGTTGCAGTCACGAGACTCGCAGGTTTCATGGAAGTGCTTTGACCGTGCTGCAGCAAGGTTCGGAGAGGAGGATCATGACCTTCAATCGACTGCGGCATTCAACCCCTTCCCGGAGAGTGGTCAGGCGCACGCAGTAAGTCGCGCTTTGCAAGAAATAGGTCTTTTATAGTTAGCCGTTGACGGACGCCCTGAAACCGCGAACACTTGTCAATTTCATCGTATACAGTAATACAACTACTGCTACTTGCGACGACCACCTACTACTAGTACTAGTACTCGTACTAGTACTAGTACTAGTACTAGTGCTAGTACTAGTACTACTACTACTACTACCACTACTACTACAACTACTACTACTACAACTACAACTACTACAACTACAACTACAACTACAACTACAACTACAACTACAACTACAACTACAACTACAACTACAACTACAACTACAACTACAACAACTGCTACTGCTACTGCTACTGCTACTACTACTAC